TTTTTTTTTTTAAAGATGGGGCTTCACCATGTTGGCCAGGCTGGTCTTGAACTCCTGACCTCAGGTGATCCACCCACCTCAGCCTCCCAAAGTGCTAGGATTACAGGCATGAGCCACCGCACCCGGCCAAAAAGAGGTTTTAATTGGACTTAGAGTTCCACACGGCCAGGGAGGCCTCAGAATCATGGTGGGAGTTGAAAGGCACTTCTTACATGGCAGCAGCAAGAGAAAATGAGGAAGCAGCACAAGCAGAAACTCCTGATAAACCCATCAGGTCTCATGAGACTTATTCACTATCACAAGAAGAGCATGGGAAAGACTGGCCCCCATGATTCAATCACCTTCCCCTGGGTCCCTCTCACAACACATGGGAATTCTGGGAGATAAATTCAAGATGAGATGTGCGGGGGTTGGGGGACAGAGCCAAACCATATCAGTATTCCAAACACAGATCCCCGCAGTGGCCAGGCGGCAAAGATAAATGACTTTACTGTGCTTGATGTATGGAGTGTACACTCTGTCTAAAGAGGGCAGCAGCTGTCTGTAATCGGGCAAGAAATGGACAGCTCTAATTTCCAAAAGCAGTTACAATTCTGTATATATATATATTTTTTTACAATGCTGTATTCTTATCTGAAATCTTTTATTTTTATTTTATTTATTTATTTATTTATTTAGAGACAGAGTCTCACTCTGTCATCCAGGCTTCCAGTGGGGCCATCTTGGCTCACTGCAACCTCCGCTGCCCAGGTTTAAGTAATTCTCCTGCCTCAGTCTCCCAGCTAGCTGGGACTACAGGCACATGCCACCACACCCAGCTAATTTTTTATATTTTTAGCAAAGATGGGGTTTCACCATGTTGGCCGGGCCAGCCTTGAACTCCTGACCTCAAGTGATCCACCTACCTTGGCCTCCCAAAGTGCTGGGATTATAGGCATGAGCCACCATGCCCCGCCCTGAAATCTCTTATTTTTTAAATCTCGGAAACTAATTTTAAAGTTTCTAAAGGCTGTGAGAGATGAACAGTACACATCTGTGACCACTGATTTGTAACCTCTAACTCAAGGCATATTTGTTTTCCATTCACAAAATATTCTACCCCTTTGGGTTTGAGCTGAATTTTCAACCACAGAGTACAGGCTGGGCTGCCACAAGAATGTCCTTACCAGGGTAAAGCCACCCACCCTCCTCCCCAAAAGCAGTAAGAAGGTTTCCTGTTATTTCCTCCTAGTCTAGGAAACTCACTACCAGTTGAGAACTAAAACTGTGCCCACACCTGTAATCCCAGCACTTTGGGAGGCTGAGGTGTGCAGATCACCTGAGGTTGGGAGTTCAAGACCAGCCTGACCAGCATATAGAAACCCTGTCTCTACTAAAAATACAAAAATTAGCCAGGCATGGTGGCACATGCCTGTAATCCCAACTACTCGGGAGGCTGAGGCAGGAGAATCGCTTGAACCTGGAAGGCAGAGGTTGCGGTGAGCCAAGATCATGCCATTGCATTCCAGCCTAAGCAACAAGAGCAAAACTCCGTCTATAATAACTCCATTTATAAAGGAAATTAATTTACCAAATCTATTCCAAAAGTATGGTAGCAGGGGTTACAACAGAAAAAATAGTTAAGGCAATGCCTGGGTGCAGTGGCTCACACCTGTAATCCCAGCACTTTGGGAGGCCGAGGCAGGCAGATCACGAGGTCAAGAGATCAAGACCATTCTGGCCAACATGGTGAAACCCCATCTCTACTAAAAATACAAAAATTAGCTGGGCACGGGTGGTTTGCACCTGTAGTCCCAGCTACTTGGGAGGCTGAGGCAGGAGAATCACTTGAACCCAGGAACCGAGTTTGCCCCACTGCACTCAAGCCTGGCGACAGAGTAAGACTCCACCTCAAAAAAAAAAAAGAAGAAAGAAGGCAGAATATTTCTAATTTTCATCTTTTAAGAGGAACGGAAAGAGTGAGCTTTCTTATGAAATTAGACGTTAAAAAAAGATGTGACACATCATATCAAAACTGTCTACACTCTGTTAAAGGAGTTAAAACTACTGAAATGTAGCAAGACGATTTTGTTGTTGTTTCCAGACAGGGTCTCACTCTGTCACCCAGGCTGGAGTGCAGTGACGCCAGAATGGCTCACTGCAGCCTCGACCTCCGGTCTCACATGATCCTCCTGCCTCAACCTCCTGAGTAGCTGGGTCTACAGCTAAGTGCCACTATGCCCAGGTAATACTTTTTTCCTCTTTGTAGAGATGAGGTTTTGCCATATTGCCCATGCTAGTCTCCAACTTCTGGGCTCAAGTGATCCATCTGCTCTGGCCTGCCCAAATGCTGAACTATAGGTGTGAGCCATCATGCCTGGCCACAACATAATTTAGGATTGCATTTTGTTTAAATTTTTAAATTCTTTTTTTTTTTTTTT